CATAACTGTGTCTTCCTTTCATAGTATGCAATCATAGGTTTTGATGCTTGGTAATAGCTTTCAATTCCTTCCTTGATGGTTTCAGCATTATCAGTGTGCTGACTGCTCTGATTTCTCATCAGAAGGCGACTGCTCATTGTTTCTGTGGAGCAGTCCAGGCAGAACACAAGTTTTGGTTCCCCAATCTAGAGACAAAGGAAAACATCAAGTTTTCAAACTGCTGGCCTGGTAAAACTGGCTTTGTTTGGATAATTTTAAAACAAAATGCTACCGAAAAGGTCATCAAGGAATTTATCAGCAGATTACTTCTGAATTTGCCTATGCAGAAGTTATGCTTATTTACAAACAACTCTTTTTGTAGCAGCACTTAGCAGCATTCAAGATGAAGGCTGTGTTTGATGGGGCTCTACATACACAGAGAAAAAGTGATAAGATCTGAAAAATGCTGGCTACTAGGACTGCAGGCTGAGTCTAAAGGGATAAACTCCACTCTATCAAGTAAAATAAATGTGTTACAGAATCAGAGAAAAGCAATGTGGTAATTTTTCTATGCAGTTATGTATTAGATCCTTCAGTGATGCTTTCAGCCTTTTTCTCATTCCTTCCCTTTTTATCAGGGATTTGGAGAACACCTTTTAGGAAAGAATGAGAAGTTCTTGAGAAAAGACAACTGCTCTTCACACTAGTGATCATCAGAAAATCATGTTTTTACAATGGCTACAGCAAAGAAAGTCTAAATGACTGACATATTGGAACTGTCATTGCTAAAATTGTTGAAAGCCCTTAACGGAAAAAATATTCTAAAGGTAAATATTCCATGCTAGGCCTTCTGCATTTGACTGAGGATGTCTGGATTACGTTGACCTTTCCACCACCTTAATGACTTTCTAGGACACGGCTGAAGCAAGGGAATATGTTGGACAGTGCAATGACAGGCTTTTATCCATCCATTTTTTCCACACAGCTCAGAAAACATAAATGCTATTAGTAGCAGCAGTATTGGGTGTAGGGATTAAAAAAGCCAACAATGCAGTTTTAACAGTGCAAAAGACTTATATTGAGAAGTTAAGAAAGATGTGGGCTCATACAGTGATTCAAACAAATGTCCTTTTTGTATAACTGGACTAGGATGGTGAGAAGTTATTTCCTCCCCCTCCACATGAGGAACTCTGTGTCTTTTCTAAATTAGAATAAATGTGAAATGATTCCTTTAATCAGTTATATCATCACCTCACAATGAGGATATAAAGGAGTCCACAGATCAGATAACAGTATCTTGTTTGATAGACCAGGTTTGATTTGCTTTTGAAAAACCTGTTATGTTTCTCTTAAAAGTTTCAAAGTTGCTGTTCTCCAGAATTCACAAAATGTTACAGAAATGTCATTCTGCCAAGTTAAAAAATTGCAAGAGTAAAAGTCATCAGATATTACAGCAATTTGTATGACTGGATTTTTTTAAAGTTACTGTTTTCCTGGCACAATTTAGCTTAAATAATGTGTGTTGTGGGAACATCTGCAGGAAGCCAAACAAGTCTAATGTATTGGGTCTTTATTCTGTCTTACTGGGTATCTTCTCCCTGCTGATGTGGAACTTATAATTTAATATTGTTTTTTACTTTCCACTTAGGAGAAAGACTGAGGAGGGAACAGGGATGTGCTTCTCTAGAATTATGGCTAGGTAAAAGTACAGTTATATCACAGAAAGGAATTGAGCAAAACTGGCTGGAGACTGAGCTTACATAGACTTACTGAGAAGCTTACAGCCAGCCAAGATCACCCTGTGAACACTGAAGTGCATACACGGATACAACAGGGTTGAGTTGGCACGTTCAAAATTACCACTTGGGGTGCTTGTATTTTACTCCAAATGTCAAAGGCAGCCCCGGGCTACAGGATCTTTTGCTCTGCAGTGTCTACAGGAGCTGAAAGGAGCTCTGCTTTTGCTCTGGATGCATCAAGACTTGTTTGCCTGGCAATGCCTCAGTCCAGGACGCTCCAATCTCTTAAATCCTGCTTTATAGCATACACCAGCGTTCACAGGACATGACACGTATGCCTGCCAGAAAAGTAGTACTGCTGAAATAGTCCCTCCTTCTACACAAAATGAAAGAAATCTCCAATGTCTTTGTAACAGTGCATGACATTCTAGTAAAGGAACTAACAGATTGACATTTCTGTGAATGGTGTCTATAACAAATTCTATTATGCATTAGTTTGTTCAGCTTCTGATGCCTATGTCTTGCTAGGGTTTTGTGGTAATCAACTACCCAAAGCAGCTAAAGGTTCAGATGATCCATGAAAGTTTTATTACCTTTTAAACTTGAATGGGAAGTTTGTGGAGTGTAATCTGAATATAAACTTAACTATTTACTCTAGCTAACCAATAGTTTTCTCCTAAACCCTGGCAAATTCATTCATAGGGCTTATAGAGAGTATTTTCTGCAGATAGGGAAATGTACAGCTGAGACCTCTCAGTAGGTCTTAGCACATACTGAGGAAATCAATAACTCTCTGAACTGCCATGCAGTCACTTGCAAAACACTCTTTTTATGGCTGTGCCACCTCTTACTCATCACAAAAATAAAATCTGTGTTTTGCTGTTTCACAGTGGTAGCACGCTGTAAAAGAGCCGGCTCAATGGTAATAGATACTGACTGAAGTTATGTGCTTTCATGAACCTACCTCAAATAGCACTTGATGAGATTTTCACAGTAAGTACAGCAGCCATCCACTAGAATTATACAAATGATTCTAAAAATGGTGCTTTCCACTAAATGTGAATTGTTCCTGGTTCATATTAAATTTGGGTAAAATCAGCTTTTACTTCTGCTGGTATTAGAGGGTCTGTGTAGGTGAGGGCAAAAGCTGGAGTTGCTATATTTATGGGGTGCCCAAGTTTCAGCGATCAGCAGTACAATGCTGTTGGGTTGGCTGTTTACATGTCCCCATTGCAATCAGCTAAAGATGGGCACTCAAGCAGCATCAAAAGTACAGGTGTATCTTAATAGGAGTTATAACAGCATTACAATTATATGATTACCTTGCTCTCAAACTCTTCTGCTTCTTTCAGCTCTTGGGGATACCCATCAATCAGAAAACCTTTTGTGTCCCCCAACTTGGAAATCATGGCTTCCTTCAGTAGCTTTAGGACAATACCCTACATTGAAAAGAAAGGGAGCAACTTGGTTAATTATAAGAAAGATTGATACATTGTTTGTTACACCGACTTTAGTCCTAGGCCCTTGACAACTGCCTTGTTTTGCTAAGAGCAGGTCCTGTAAATACAGGTGTTTTTCTTGTCCTGCAGGCAGCAGGGCATCCGTTTTTTATTCTCTCAGGTCCAGCTGTGCTACATAGGTCTAGTGTTGCAAAGCATCCAAGAGTTCCCAAAGTGTCCTCTAGACAGCCGGGAATATTTCATAGATTCAAAATTAGTATCTGTGAAACTGGAGTACTGCTGCAGCATTTTGCAATCTGATTGCATTTGCTACATCATTGATATAATTACACTACATGGAATGCGATAAGAGACCCCATCTAACCAAACACACTGAAGAGCAAAGCAATCAAAATCAAGACTCGGCACAGCTTTTAGTTTCCCCCAAGCAGCACTTCCCAGTATCTTTCATTAACAAACACATTCTACGATCAAACTGCACTTGCTGAAGACCGAAGAGTTAGGGCTGTGGACCTGCCATGTAAAAGTCAAGTCCAGCTGGGAACGACAGACTCTGTCTTCATAGTGACCATTAAACTGCAGTCCAGCTGCTCTGGGATGTCAGCCAGCTCTGCAGGGAACTGCTGCAGGTATTGTAAATTAGAATAGCTGCCAGGAGGACCAGCTCCGAATCTGAAATGGGAAGCTACAAAATCGGCATCAAGTTTCTGTTCCCTGTACTTATTCTTACATTTTGCAATGCATAGTGCAGCTTGTGTCTCACTGTTTTCATGACTAATTTGTAGCCTCTCTGAGTCAAATGCAAAGAAATACTGGCAGAGAAAGAAAGATCTGGCAATGAGGAAACTTCTCTCTCAAGATGCAGGTTAATTTTACTTAAATCATCAGCTCTAGTCTCTCATTTCCACCCTTTTAGACAATCTACTACCACTGCCTTTGTTTAACCATTAGGACCCCAAATAAAACTGTTGCTTACTCCAGGCACAGGTTCACCACATTCCATGATGTATTTGATCAGTTTGCTTCTCTCTGATAATGATGATAACTCATTTTGGAGAAGGTCACCAGTGGACAGGTGAGTAAATCCATATTTCTTGGCTAACTGTTCGCATTGGCTACCTTTGCCAGAGCCAGGCCCACCTTTGTGAGGGAAAAAATATATAAAATTAGAAAAGATTTCTAACTTCTCAAACTATAGCAACCAAGAAAATGGGAGGAAATGGATGAGACTGTCTATTTCAAAATTCACTTTTTTTTTTTAAAAGACACTATACAGTAGAACAAGTCAGATACTTCCCTTCTGCTGGCTCAAAACGTGCCCTGAAGTTGAAGGAGTTAACAACAGTGTGAAATCTCTTGCAGGAAAGAACCTGTTCCTAAAACACCATTACCATGTAAAGGGACAACATAAACTAGACTGCCGGTGGGGAAGGATATTTCAGTGTACGTTCAGCTTGATAGCTGCAACAAATATTAGCAAACTAACATCCACTGCATCCTTGGGAGAGAAATATTTTGCCCCCATTTGTGGAATGGAAAGGTATAGGTAAAGAGATGGTGAAACCTGCCTCTGTTATGTGGGATACTGCACACATAGGTGTACATTAACTAAACCCTTTTGTATTATAGTGAACGTAAAATTTCACAGTGCTTGTGCTGTTTTGCTTGGAAAGCTTTCACATCCTGGTATGTCTGCAGGTAACAGAGCCAGGTACTGAAGCTGCTCAATACTGACGAAGGCTCGGTCATGGCCTCCCTGCAGCCGCAGCACTGGCTTGCTCTTCAAGCATGCTGCAGGGAAGTGCAAGAATAAAACACCGGGCAACAAAGGGCACATGGAGACCTTGTTACCACCTGCTTGTCTACATCCACAGCTGTAAAAAACAACTGAAAACCACCTCTGAGCCAAGCCTGGAGCCAGACACCAGGAGGGGTGCAGGGAGTTTCAGCTCAGGTGAAGCTGCTCAAATGATTTTTCCACAGGCTGAAAGGAAGGTGTCTGCAGCCGGCCCTGCCCCTAGCCACTGGGGGTCTGTGGGAGACAGGGACAGGGACAGGGCAGGGCAGGGCAGGGGCTCAGGTGACTGCTGCAAGTGTCAGAAATGGCACCTGAACCCTCCCTCCTCCGTTTGACGGGAGAGAGAACATCACCTCAAGAGACCCAAAATTGCCCTTTTTTTCAGGGGCAGTCCCAGAGACCTTGGACATCCCTTTGCTCTGCAGGTGCTGCCATTGCCCTGTCCCACCTCCTCAGTGGAGGTGCCTGCTTTTCCTTCCTCACCCTGAAGGCCAACCATGTGGAACCCCAAATGCCTATTCAGCTGCTTGCTGAGGGACAGCAGCCAACCTGGCTGGAAAAACGGGCAGCCCATGGAAATGGCTGGAAGGTGCTTCCTGGGGATGGTGTGGCTGTGATCTTGAGAGCCGCTGGTGGAGCTGAGGTGAGCACACTGTGAGGGCTGAACTGGGTGGGGAGCTGAGGCGCCATGTTGTTGCTGGGGGTGAAGGAGACCAGGAAAGCAGTTTCCTTTGTGACAATATCAGGATGTGGGGAGAAATTTCAAGGTGTGTAGCAGTGTTTTTACAGTCTTTGATGGATCTTTCCAGAAGACCTACCGCAGTAGGTGGTAATTATACCCTTGTAGGGAGACAGTGCTCAGAAGTAGAGGCAAGGCCAAGATAAAGAAAACCTATTTCGATCATGCTTTTTAAGCAGGTGACTTCTATTTATCAACTGTTTGGACTTGCAAATATGACAACACTCTATTATGTGGATGCGTGATGCTTGAAAACATGTGATTTTCCTGTTTATTTTTCCATGAGAAATATAGGAATAATGTTCATAATAGAGTGAATTTGGCACCATCTCCTCCTGACTTGAACTTTCTTCTGATTTTTGCATTCAATTTAAGAAATAATTTCTCTGAGCATATAATTTACAGAGAAGTTACAATACTGTAGCTGAGAATAAAAACTAGGCCATAAGGAGGTAGCATCAAAAGAACATTTTTGGTATACTATAACCTGGAGTCTTTTACTTCAGCTTGACAAAGACAATTATCAGCCCATGGTGTGAGAATCACACTTGTGCTACAATTTTAGCTGGAAATACATTTGTCACAGTCTCATTTTCTTGCCAATGTGGGTTGCATGTTGTTTTTCTGTTGCTTTAATAAGACGAACATTTTTCTTTTGTAAAAGCACTGACTGAAAGAAAACAAGGAATAAATAAGCGTGGCTACAGAGAAATGGATGCAGAGAAATTACAGACAAATAACCTGTAACATGTAGTCATAATTTCATTTCTATTCTGTTTTGGTTTCTTACATTAGTAAGTTTGTGTGTGTATGTGCTTGTTTGTACATTGTCTCCTGGTCTTGAATACATTAGCAGTGCAGTAATTGCATCCTATTTATTTGGTGTATATACACAGTATTAGAGAAAAAAAAACAAAACAACAAAACCAGCTATAAAGATTACTTTATTCTGTTTCTTATGTAACTGTTTCTCTTCTGAATGTGGAGCCAAACAGAAATTTCATGTCTCTTTGTGTACTAAATAGACTAGATCTCTTTTTAGATATAACAATGAAAGGACAATTTTGTGTTGATTAACAGGTAAATATTAAGGTAAATATTAATGTGCTTCTACAATAACCTTTATCTGTTAGTATCTTAAAAGAGACCAGTAACGAGTGGCATCCCTCAGGGATCAGTGTTGGGACCGGTCTTGTTCAACACCTTTGTCGCTGACATGGACAGTGGGATTGAGTGCGCCCTCAGCAAGTTTGCTGATGACACCAAGCTGTGTGGTTTGGTTGATACCCTGGAGGGAAGGAATGGCATCCAGAGGGACCTTGACACACTTGTGAGGTGGGCTGATGCCAACCTCATGAAGTTTAACCATGCCAAGTGCAAGGTCCTACACCAGGGTCAGAGCAATCCCAGGCACAGCTACAGGTTGGGCAGAGAAGAGATTCAGAGCAGCCCTGTGGAGAAGGACTTAGGGGTGTTGGTCAATGAGAAAACGAACATGAGCTGGCAGTGTGCGCCTGCAGCCCAGAAAGCCAGCCGTATCCTGGGCTGCATCAAAAGGAGCGTGACCAGCAGGTCGAAGGAGGTGATCCTGCCCCTCTGCTCTGCTCTTGTGAGACCTCACCTGGAGTATTGTGTGCAGTTCTGGTGTCCTCAACATAAAAAGGACCTGGAACTGCTGGAACAAGCCCAGAGGAGGGCCACGAGGATGATCAGGGGACTGGAGCACCTCCTGTATGAGGATAGGCTGAGGAAGTTGGGGCTGTTCAGCCTGGAGAAGAGAAGGCTGCGTGGAGACCTCATAGCAGCCTTCCAGTATCTGAAGGGGGCCTATAGGGATGCTGGAGAGGGATCTTCATTAGAGACTGTAGTGATAGGACAAGAAGTAATGGGTTAAAACTTAAACAGGGGGAAGTTTAGATTGTATATAAGAAGGAAATTCTTTCCTGTTAGAGTGGTGAGGCACTGGCATAGGTTGCCAGGGAGGTTGTGAATGCTCTATCCTGGCGGTGTTCAAGACCAGGTTGGACGAGGCCTTGGGTGATATGATTTAGCGTGAGGTGTCCCTGCCCACGGCAGGGGGGTTGGAACTAGATGATCTTAAGGTCCTTTCCAACCCTAAATATTCTATGATTCTATAATGCTGCGAGACTGACATACATACAGGGCATATGTATGGCATACACCATAATGAGAATTACTGTGCCTCCAAAACATTAATTAAAATCGACCATGTTTACTTTTTACAGAAGAGTTCCAACAAAGATGAGATTAAAATGCTGAGCTCCTTAAAGACAAAAAGACATAATTAAATTACATTTATATGCTGAAAATGGTAATTTTTATGGCCACTGCTATTAATTTAGTGCCATTTGATGAGTAGCAAAGCATCCTACTGCTTGACAAATGTGTATGACCCACTTTACAAAATCTTGTGCTTTCATATCAGCGAATGAGATGACAGTTCTTGCTTGGCCTGATAAGAGAAAAGGCTGAATGCCCCCAAGAAATTCAGCATTGAGGGCCAAACACATACTTGGTGTTTATACCAATACTAACTTACATGCCTGAAGTTAAAGTATTAGTTAATGTCTTGTCTCTTTCTGAAGACTATTATTTAATGTGACTGAAAAAGAGCTATTTAGGTGGGAAAGAATGTGAAAGTGCATTTTTTTGTTACGGATTAGATAATTCCCCCCTGCTCAAAGTATGTACTTAGAGGGATCCTACAAACCCAGCTTTAATAGCAAATTAGCCATGCAGTCATGAGGGTTACTATCAATTTGTAGTGTTGCAAAAACTGTATTTTTCTCTTTTAGAGGGTCTCCTTATTAACTCTATGTATTTTTCTAAAAAGAATAAGAAAAAGATGATAATTTACTTGAAGAAAGTTTATAAGGAACAACAGCTACATAGAAAATATAACAAAAGCTAGCACAAAGATATTTTCAATTAAAAAGGCTTCACTGCAACTTGTTATGCTGTTTTTCAAACAGAAAAAAACTTGAGGCATTGAAAAAGGTAGTGCTGTTTTCCCAGAGCCTAATTGTTAGGAGGAGGAAAATATGTCCCCACTTTTGTTGAGAAGGCGTAAGATTCTTTGAGAACATTGTCATTTTTTCTGCATGATGTCATCTTTTACTTTGCCTATGCATATTTTGGGGGGAAAAAAAAGATTGTGTTAACAGCCTGATTCACGGTAACTTGCTATTCAGATTAATCACGTTGTCTTCTAACTTTCATATATGACATGAAGGCAGAGTTAAAGCCTAGAAAATGGCCAGAGGAATTACAAGTATTCTGTGACCTGCAGGAGAATGTAGAACTGCCAGCAGATCTTCAGTGTTAGCACACTTGTACTATGCTAGTATTACTAAGCACAGACCATACTGCTTAAAAATTAATTCCTTAACTTAATAAAAATAAGAAGTGCAAATTAAGAAATTGAGCACATTTTATCAGTCAGTGAGACTATTCATGGAAACTGAATCCTTTGTGTATCCCTTTGTGCTTCCTGATACAAAGAGTAAGCAAGTATCTGGAATCAAGGTACTAGATAGAGCACAGAAATTAAATGTGGTTCTGTATATTGCTTTTCTGTAGACAAGGCTGGATTAAAAGATTTACACACTCCCTTAGTGCAGTTTTCCCTGCCATTATGTTGATTCAGCTGCCTGTGAAACTGTGTGAGAAAATCATCTGGTAAATAACTTTCTGGCAGCACTGCTGACTTTAGTGGTTACCTTTCCCTGTTTAATTATTGACTGTAGAAATGCTTCATAGAGAGCACCTCAAGAGGACAAGACGAGTGGTCTCTGTGGGTAGGAAGAAATGACAACCACCCAAGCAGCACTTCTGAATGTTTAATTGCCTGCCTTAGATCAGTGAAAGATCTTGGTTTAAGAAATGGAGACTCTTACGTTTGCTCTCCCTCATGCCCCAATCTCCCTGAGACTATGACAGACGCAAGCCTAGGCATGTGATTCAAATGTACTGGTCTGGCCTGGAGCACCAAATCACAAGCAGATGAATTAATGATGCTAGAGGGACAGGAACAGATGAATTAGTGATGCTGGGCCTGCTGCTGTGAATGAGCAAGGACAGGAACAAGCAGCATGAACAGTTCATGAACCAGCTTTTCTGCCAGAAATATTAATAAAGCAGAAGTGTCATACAGACAGACTGAGATGTCTCTACTTGAAACTTGCCAAGTATTACAAGTTTATCATACACCAAAATAACATAAACATTTACATAAAAAGCCCGCAGCAGGATTTACAAGAGAGTCCCACCGTTCATTTTAAAATATTTCCAATTCTAGACCTTATTTTCATAATGATTATCATCCCTGTATCATGGAAAAGTGCTTGCAGGGGAAACCTAGCTGCACAGTTGGCTGGAGTCTCAGAACTGAAATCAAAATAACCCCAGTCAAGTTATCCTTCATATTCAAGCTATGATTTTGGAGGACTTGATCAGTTTGGCAATTCTATCAATGCTACTCGGATTATTTATACAAATAAAAATATGCCTTAGCTTCAGAAGATGGCCTTTGGAGGCTTCTCAATAGCACCTCCTCTGCTGTTCATGTATGATTTTGGTCTGAGTGAAACCATATATGAATGATGCTACTGTTTAAAAATAACAAAAACAACAACAAAAACAAAAAAAAGCCCTCAGCATTTGTTTTTCTTATTTCTGAAACATGATTTTAATCAGAAACAACTTGGCATATGTTAGCAGAGTGATGTGATGGCCTGGAACACCACTGTGTTTTCACCATTTTCTTGAAGGAAACATGTTTATTTCATGGCAAGTCAGAAAAAGCAGTCTTCATTAACTTCTAAAGCTATAGCTTGGACTGACTGAGTTTTTAGTTATCAGCACTGCTCATCCTGTGCCTATCTGATTTTAGAAGGAGCTGTAATACAGGAGTTGTACTGTAATTAGGCTGGAAGGGACCTCTTCTGGTAAAATGCCCTACTCAAAGCAGGGCTAAATTCCAAGTCGGATCAAGTCATTCAAGGTCTGGCATATCTTAGACAAATAAACAGTTTTATGGTTTGTGATCTTTGGGGTGTTTTTTGTGGTTTGTTTGGTTCGGTTTCGTTTTTTTTGGGGGGGGGGGGGAGAGTGTGTGGGTTGTGGTTTTTGTTTTTTTGTATGCACAAGAAGCCACTGGCTGCAGCTGGTAATGTTTAACCTGTAAGTGTAGGTGGAGGTAACATCTTCCAAGTGTCAGCTAAAAGGCTGGTCAAATTATATTGAGTTTAAACCATTTGGTTCATTAGCAAGAACAAAGATTCTACAGAGGAAATTAGACTGACTGAGTTTTAAACACCATGTTTAAGAGTAAGTGAGGAGCTTGTCTCTGGTCCAAAGTGCAGAAAGATTCCTGAAAATTTTCTGCTTCAATTTCAGCCTCTACCAAAGCCAAATGTGGTTGGCTTGAAATACTCCTGTAGAGGATAGGGAGAGGTAGTGCTTCCAGTAATTTTGTTAGTTACGACAATTTTCTGGATGTGATATACAGTATTGCATTAGTTAAGAATGATGAACTCATATATTGTTCACTGTGGTTAAGATTTTACGTTTTGTATTGCTCTGATGAAAAAGGTTTTTTTGGTTGGTATTTTTCTTGTTTTATTAATGTTAGTTTTGTGTTTTTTCTTTCTTTTGTGACTGCCAGTAATTACGTAAGTTTTGACTATTAGCACATCCCACAAATTTCTCCTGTTCATTTTTTAATCATGAATTTTACTTTTCAGGCCAAATTTGACTTGCTTTTGCCTCTTTTATTACTGTGCTGTTATTTTCCATGTTTTTGAGTTGCTGTTTCTATGTCTTTGCTTAGCTGTCTGGATAAAACATTGACATTGTTGCTTAATTAATCCAAGTTGGCTATTCTTCCAATTCCTACATTAGTTCTAATGTAAAACTTTGCTAATTAATAATAATTTTAATTATTCTTTTTTTTCCTCTCTCTTTTTGGACAATTTTCAAGAGAAATCAATGGGGGAGGGAAATTGTCTGCTTTTTCCCCCTTTTGTCTTATAAGCAGTATCTCAGTTTGTCAGCTCTGGCAGATGGTGTGTGTATTTCAATTAGTCTGTAAACTACTTGAAATGCACATCTTTAGAACTCTAGTTTTAAAACAACTTCATAAGCATCTTAGCATTTCCTCATGAATACATCTATGTAATGAGTAAACATTCCTAATAACACTCAAGACAGTTTTTTCCCATTCAAGTATCTACAGCAGTATGCTTCAACTCATCTTCTCTGCTGTCTTTCTAGTCAAGGTATGGTGGGCTGAACATTACTAGTGCTGTCAAGTGCAATGGAGTACTGAGCCGCTGAGAATTTGTGGTGCCTTTTCTTTCCCCCTCACTCCCCTCATGTATGATAGTTTTGCTGTTTTCTTTTGAGGCTTCTTCAAAGTTTTCTTTTGTCCCTATGCAGTTCACAGAGATCAGACTTCAGCGCGATTGACACAAAAGGAAGACAACTTTACTGCTTAGGCACATAGAATTCAGTTGCTTCCTGTGTATTATATTAAACCTGGAGAGCATTGTGCATGTGCATGTGATTCAGGCAGATTGACTCCAAGCTAGCACCAGCAAAAAATCTGTCTCTGGGAAATACCATTTATCCTCACTGCCTAGATGGAGTTAAATCAAGATTTTTCAGTCAAATGAACAACCACAAAGATCTCATGATGGTAAAAAAAATTCCAGGATAAAAATATACACCCTTACTCTTCAGGTCAGACTTCATGAAGCTTTTTTCAGGGGTGAGAGGATGGGGGTGGGGATGGGAGTATTTTGGGAAAAAGTATAAATCATTCTGCATAATTTGTGGAAAAGTAACCCACCACACTTTTCATCATAATATTTTCAACAAACAAAACTTAGAATTTTGATTAAGCACCATTTTCCTCTGGTCCTAGACAGCATTTACTAGAAAGTCTGAGGTGGATTTAAGAGCAGGAATAAATAGAGGAAAAGGTATGTTTTCCAGTTTTACTTGGAAGATGCCCTATAAAAAAAATTATAAATGAAAACTAAAACCCACTCTTTGAGAATGAAAAAGCAGTCCAGAGATAAATGAAAAATAGCCTTACCATGGACAATTTCAGAGGCAAAAGTCCTTGAGTGTCTTCACTTTTTTAAAATCTGTGTTTGTACAAACCCAAGCATAATTTTCCAATAAGATATGTGAGGCAGAGAGAATGAGAATTTGACACTGTAGTGAACAGCAGGAAGATGTACTTCAGTAAGCATGGAATTAGAGTTTGCTTAAAGGCTGAAAATTGTATTATGCATCTTTCCTTTAAGAGAAGTCTTCAACAAGCTCTTCAGGAATCTAATTTTACTTTTCCAAACACATCCACCATCGGTTTTCAAGAAACTGAGTATTTAGTTTAATATAGGGTAAGGTGAAAGTGCAACACACGAATGTGCTATCTCTTCACAGAATCCTTTAGGTTGCAAGGAACCTCTTGTGATCATCTAGTCCAAGAACTCTGTTATATCAGGGTCAGCTAGAGCAAGTTGTTGAGGACTGTGGCCAGATGAGTTTGAAACACCTCTAGGGATGGAGACTCAACAGTCTCTCGGGGCAATCTGTTCCAGTGTTTGACCACCCTCACCATAAAAAAAAAGTTTTCTTGTGTTCACATGGAATTTCATGTATTTTAAGTTGTCCCCATTTTTTCTTCTCCTGCAACTGGGCACTACTGAGAAGATTCTGACTCCCTCATCTTCCCTCCCATCAGGTATTTATACATATAGGTAAGATCCCTTGGAGCCTTCTTTTCGCCAGGTTGAAAAGTCCCAGCACAATCACCCTCTTCTCATCTAAAAGATGCTCCTTTCCCTCAGATATCTTTGTGGTCCTGCACCAGACTTGCTCCAGTAAGTCATTATTTTTCTTGTACTGGGGAGCCCAGAATGGACCCGTACTCCAGATGCAGCCTTGCCAGTGTTGAATAAGGATCACCTGTCTCAATCTGCTGGTATTGGAATGTTTTTTTGGTACCTGTTGAATTCCAAATGAAACTTCCATTCATTTATGACTATTTTCAGATGTCACTTTTTTTTTAACCCCTTTGGAAAAAGAATGCACAATGTGACTTACTTTTATGTAAAATTTCCCATGTTTAAGCGTCTCTCCTTAAACAGTTTCCTTGTAAAACAGTTCTGAAAAATTCTGCTTGATACAAAAGCAATTACTCTTTCCAAGTAATCAGTAGTAAGCTTTAAGCTGAAACTTGTAAATACTCTGGTTATAATTTTTTTTAAAAGGCTGTTCAAAATTTCTGCTAATTACATAGCCTCATTTATAGATCAGCATTAACTTAGCGCTTTTTCTCTGTGGACTTCCAGGAAGCAATATAAACCTTGAACCTGCAAAGCATAAGTGCTTGCTAACTACCATGCATGGTGATGAGTCCATTGACTGTTTAACAGCCTGTTGAGCACTTGCAGAATGGAAACCTGTATTTAAAACAGTTGTTTCACAAATGAAGAGGTGAAAAGACCTGATTTTTTTTCTTTCTTTTTTTCCACCTAACCCTCAAAATTCTGAGTTATAAATCCAATCTAGTAATGTTTTTACTAATGCTGGTGAGGCACCTTTGCTGCTACACAGCACTAATGTAAGAACTATAAGGTCATTTCGAGTATGTTCATACTTCAGCAGCCAACCTGCTCTGAGCTTTACACAACTGTTGTTAGCATGGTCAGACCTAGGATAATAACATGATATTAAATCTTAACTCCCTTTCAAAAGACTAATCCACCACTGCAGTGTAAATACTCTTAACCAAACTATTCTGCCAAACTTTAAAAGAAATCACATACTTGAAGCTAAGTAACATGGGGATTTTCAAATGTAGCAGTTGAAATAAGGAATCCTACTTACCAACAACAAAAATGATGTTTGATTTCCTCAGGTCTTCTGAAAAGTCTAGAATGAAAAAAAAATTCTTAAGTTGGCAAGAGCTACTGATTTTTGATTAGATACTTCCCATACACACTGAATTATGTAACACTCAAGGTGATCTGATTTTACCTGAGTTACTTTTTGTTATAAGGCTCTACATTCCAAAAGGAGCTATTATCCACAAGCCTATTTATCTCCCAGTTTCATAGTTCTCACTGTAGATATGATAAAAATATTGTACCTGAAAATCAGACCCTGCACATGCACAGTTTCTTTAAAGGAGAGAAGCTGATGCATCTTGATGTAATAAACTGCCTCCTGAGCCACTGAAATTTTCTCTGTTATTACATTATAATTGCTACAGAAGTTTGTCCACATCCCATTGAGATTGTACTGTATCTGAGATGCAGTCTTAAACTCTCTTGAGCCTCAAATTCATCCAAATAACAGTTCTCTTAACTGAAATCTAAGTATTACTGTCATTTGATCACCCAAACTACTGTATGTACTACAGCTTCACCTTTTGCTGAAATTGCGGTTTTTAAAAAATCAGTTCCTTCCAGTCTGAGTCCCAGTCATTAGCCTGATTATACCAGTAGAGATCTGGCACCATCCCAGCTTGCTGGGATTTTATTGTCTTTGACTTAATCCCTTACAAGGCACATTAATTTACCACATACAACTTTGTTTTTCATAATGTGGTGTGTACATCTCTTATTACATAATACTATTATCCATAAAAGGTTTTGATTAATCCTTTCATTCCTCTCAGACTCTTAGCATCTCATACTTTCAACAAGCTTTTAATAAGTTCCAATTTCTGAAAACACCTATGAGATCTGATGTGATTAACAATAATATTTTTTAATAACTTTGGATCCACTGTCTTTCACAAGATTTAACTTGCATTCAAAGAGAATTCATATGATAAAATCCTTTGAGACCTAACTTTCACAATATAAATACCTGAATTCACTTTATCTTGTAAGTAACTATTTAAATATAAGGGGAAATCAAAGGTTTCAGAGTCAAATGACAAGTGACATTGAATAAGAAACTCACCTCCTGTGCTCTCATAACCGGAAAAACTTGATTGATCCTCCTCCTATTAATTAACAATTGACAAATTGAAATAGACATTCTGCATAATTAGCATTTCTTCTCTATCTGATTATCTGTATACCTTAATATCTTCTCCATAATTTAACCTCTCAGTTTTAATCTATGTTGAGATATGGTTAACAATGTCACTGTTGGTACGGTTTCAGTAGTACATGAGCACAGAGAACCCAAGATAACTTGAGATGTTTAACTGGCCCATGCTGTTTTTACGAAGATTAGCTTTTTCAGTGCCCAACTGCACAATTCCAGCACACTATATAAGCAATCAGTGTGCATGCTGAATTGCTTCTGAAGAAAATACGGTACAATAAGCTGTTAGTAGTGGAAAGGCAATACTCAAGTAAGTTCTTGAAGTGAACTACAATATAGAGATGAAATTAAGTCTTTGGTCTAAACCAACTTGAATGTGTTTACCTTCAGAATGCCACACAAGCTGCAAGCTGATGAACTACAAAGAGGGATTGCACCAGGGAGATGTAGAACTTGGCATTTTTTTTTTGTTTTAATCCTGATATTTGGCCACCTGGAGTTATTTTGTCACATACTATATAGTACAACCAATGAGGAATTACAAATACTGGCCAGCAAGAGCGTCCGAGTGGAAGTTCTTTGTTCTTCTTATAAATCAGAGTTATATATACGCTGGACATAGTCTAGGCTCTTGAGTGTCAATATACTCACACTATCAGTGCTTTAATCTAATCTATAAAATATCAATAATAGCATTGGCAGTAATGTCCTCGTATTACATCAACAGTGCACAATATCAGCACTGAATACATTATGTTAGTGCTCTCAAAAAACAACAGGGTTATGAAGCTGTAGTTTCCTACAGTTTTGCTTCAGTGTGCTGTCAGAAATGGGCACTGCTAGAAATTTGTACAGCTGCATGAACAGATGAAGTGAAATGAGCAACGTGGTGAACAGAACAGGTGAACTGCTGGCCACTGTCATTTGCAAGGCTCTGGCGCTACCCTTGCAGGTTTCTCCTTGTGTTCCCATCATCACTGAAACATAAGTACTCTTCATTAGGCTGAAGTATCATTACATTGGCTACACAGAACATTTTCATTTTTTTGAATCGCAGCAATTCTCAGCCTATTACACTGCAGCAGAACTGCCATCTTAAATATAAAAAAAGGGGAGGGGGGAGAGGGGGCAAAATTGAAAAAGCAGCTGGATCCACTAAGTTTGCAGGAGGAGAGTATTTCAGGGGGGAAAAAAAACCCAACATTTTCAGATGAGAAAGTAATCTTTTTCCTACAATTCAAGTGACAGTATTATCCCTACCTTTTTCTTTGATGTAATAACGCAGTAAAATATTTGCCCCTGCAAAGAATGTTACATATAAAAGGCCTGGGTTTAGATTCAGTCACTTATCATGACTTTGAAGGTTTACAGATCAAAATCATTGTAGGCACAAAGTTCAGAGTAAAGTTTCTTTAAAAATAAAGATCACAGTCCTAAGTTTATAGTCAAGTGAAAGAGGCATTATTACTTTCAAGTATTGCTCTTTGTTCTCCCTTGTAA